TACCTCGCATATTGGCACTTTTGTATTCTTTCTCATTCATTAATATTCAGAATTGTCTTTAGGTTTAGGAATGTATGAAACACCCCTCTTCCTAGCTCATGAAGAAGAATCCGGTGGCCGAAGTGTTCCCACTACTCCTCTGCAAGTAGCGGCTCCAGGTAGGTATCATATTACTAGATTGTGTGTTTTATTGGTAAAATGGAAACTTATGAGGCATCTTTGGGCTGAAAATTAGGTAAACCACAAAGTTAAAGTGTTCGTTGCTTTTCTGGTCTTGTTTTGAAGTGAACGTATTTACTGAGAGTAGTACCACCTCTGATGCTTCAGAGCATGCCTCTCAGTCTGTTCCAATGGTGACAACATCGACTGGCACTTTATCCACAACCAATGAAACAGCAGCAGGTGATGATGGAGATGAAGTATTTGTGGAGGCAGAATCTGAAGGGTAAATGTTTACTTTGTAATATTTGCTTGCCTTAGACTTGCCAGACTTTTGCATTTGTTTTCCTTTAGCCAGGAAACAATCTGTTGAGCTGTATTTTCAGTCGCATCTTATTACAAAAGTAAACCGAGCCATCTATTTTGAAAGATTAATTTTTGCATATAATAATATTTTGGGACTTGGAGGTTGTTATTACAGAAGACAAATGTTAGCTCCCTGAACATTGCATAATATATTTATTCTAGAACAAAATATTTCTTTAAAATCACTGGTACCCTTCCATTAATGTAACTGCTTGAACTTTTCCCCAAAAAAGAAGTCTTTCTGTGAAAGTTAGGAATATTAGGAAATGATTCAACTTTCCATTTAGTAGTGGGCTTTCAAATGAACCTCACTTATCCTTAATGTGCATTTAGAACTGATTATAAATTAGAATTTATCTAGTAGTTTTCAAGACCTGACTGTATTGGTAACACATCCGTTATAAACAAAGTTGTCTTGGAGAAGTTTAACTTTCAAGATGGAATCTAATTTATTTTTAAATATATTTTTATTGATTTCAGAAAGGAAGGGAGGAGAGAGAGAGAAACATCAATGATGAGAGAGTACCATTGATCGGCTGCCTCCTGCTCACACCCCACTGGGGATTGGGAATTGAACCCTGACCTCTTGGTTCATAGGTCGATGCTCAACCCCTGAGCCACACCAGCCAGTCGGAAACCTAATTTTTATAAATAAAATAAAAAGTTGGGCTACTTCATGGGTAGAAGCAGAGCTAGAAGTAGAACCCAGATTTCTATGTAGAGCTCAAAGATTTTGTTTTAATATATTTTATTGATTTTTTACAGAGAGGAAGGGAGAGAGATAGAGAGTTAGAAACATCGATGAGAGAGAAACATCGATCAGCTGCCTCCTGCACATCTCCTACTGGGGATGTGCCCACAACCCAGGTACATGCCCTTGACCGGAATTGAACCTGGGACCTTTCAGTCCACAGGCCGACGTTCTATCCACTGAGCCAAACTGGTTTCGGCAAAGATTTTGTTTTATTTAGCAATATTTTCTTGGCATAATCATTGGCCAGTTCTATATAAGGAAACAAGCAGGTCTACTTATTATGCTCTATCAGGGCTACTTAATTTGGGGGAGGTTATAGACCCTACTGAGAACACTAGCTGCCGTTAATTCCATGCCATGTATGCAGGTCATTTCATACAAGTCATTTCTAACGCATACAATACCTTTGCAAAGTGTCATCATTTTACAAGTGAGAAAGCTCAGAGTCAGAGCATGTATCTCTGGTGACTGACTCAGCCCCAGGTGCTTTAGCTTCACACCTGACCAGCACTGTTCAGCGTAGGCACAGTCATGAGAGAGAACTTCCAGGTACATTAACTAATAACTGTACTAAGATTGAAGTTGTTTTGTACTTCTATCTCCTCACTTGCTTTTTGATGTGCTTTCTGGAATGGGAGAGAGAAATGGACTTACAGCCATTGAGCCAGGGATTTCTACCCATAGCCTGTCTCATCTGCGCTAGAGCCCCTTTTGAGTTAGTGATCTGTTAATAGTTGTGACTTGTGAATTATTTTACTACTATACTCTCCTAGAAAGTTGTTTTGAGGTTTATCAAAATCTGGATAATCTATCTCCTGCAAATGTTAAGAATGTAAACATCCCTTGTCAAAAAGAAAAAAATTTATAAAAATGAGAAGAAAACAACTAAATTTGGAATGTGAAAAGAGGCATGAGGAAGAAGCAACTTGTCCCCTGCCCCTTTAAAAATATATATGGCTACCAGTATCAGGGTTGGCAGTTTTGATTTGGAGTAGAACTCTGCATTAAGTGATAAACTATATGGAAAAGAGTTTGGAAACAATAGGATACACTCTAGGATCAGTTTTATATTTTCTAATCAATTTTTGTTTTCCTTTCTTAGTATTAGTTCAGAAGCAGGCCTAGAAATTGATAGCCAGCAGGAAGAGGAGCCTGTGCAGGCATCTGATGAGTCAGATCTTCCTTCCACCAGCCAGGACCCTCCTTCCAGCTCTTCTGTAGGTAAGTTCCAGCTGTTGACTACATGTAACTTTACACATCACACTTGTTTGCAAAAGACACTTTTATTGCTAACAATTTTATTTTTTCCCCCTGAATTGTAAAAAGCTTTATTTAAGAGGGAAATTTTATTTTCTTACAGGGAACTTGGTTTATATTAAAGAAAATTGGTTGTATTAGTGGTGCTAAAGGGGCTGTAGGGGGGATGATTACTAAGGAGTAGTACTTTAGGCCTCTCTCTTGCCTAAACCAGAGCAGCTCCATTTTTGTTTGTTCTACATATTGGAGTTCTACAGCGGTCTGATACACAGTAAGTGCTCAGCAACTCTCTGTATCAGACAATATGCAAAGTCCTTTATATATATTGATTCATTTAATTCTCACATCAGTCCAATGTGGTAAGCATTCATCCCCAATTTATAGTTATGGAAACTTAAATAACTTCTCCAAAGTCACATAACTAGTAAAGAATAGGCAAGCCCTGAGCAAGCTCACAAGTTTGCCTCCAGAGACTCCAATCTTAAACAATATACTATCCCAACATGCCTATCAATTTTTAGGTAGGGAATTACTTTTATTAAAAAAATATAGTCCTCAGTCATCCACTCCGATTATTTTCACTTTGAATTGTTATAGCAGTCATTCTCCAACTGCCAGGTTTTATGGAAGACATGCTCAGTTACCACGTTCTCAGTCATGGAACACTGCCATCTCAGGGTCTCTTCTCCCTCAGCTGCTTCTCTGGCACATCAGCCAAGAGCCAACATCCCTAGTTTCCAATCTCACATCCACCTTTTAGCAGCTGGTAACTTTAAATCACTGCACATTTCATTGTGAAATATGGACATTCATAAGTAATCTTGCAGCTGAGATTAGAAATGTCTACAACTATCATTATTAATAATACAATTAGTGAAGTTTGGTGCCCCCAGTTATACTCTAACATCTCATGAAAATTGTTATTTCTCAGCAAAATTGGAACTAGTTATATCTTACTAGAGCTTGCATGGAAATATATGGTTCTTGTTCCTTTTTCAGTATAATATAAAATTAGGATCTCTTTACATTTATTTGAAAATATAAAACACTAAACTTTCCCACCTGAGCAGTTATTCATTTGGTTAACAAATATCTGAGTGTCTACCATGTGTTGTCAGGCAATTTCACAGGAAGCACTATTAAGTGACATTTAAGTGAACACCTAAAAGAGGTTCGGGAATGAAGCTGTGCAGTCATTTGGGGGAAGAGCATTCTAGGGCAAGAGAAACACCAAGTGCAAAGTCCATGAGGCAGGAGTGTGATGTGTTCAAGCTCAGCAAGGAGGCCAGTGTGGATAGACTATAGTAAGGATGGAGAGATTAGCGGGTGACAGGATACATCTAGTGGGTCATTGTAATTGCATTGACTTTCATGGATAAAGGGAGTTTTGAGAGGGCTTCAAACAGTGACATGATCTGACTTAAAGACTTGACAGTGTCAGTTTGGCTGCTGTGTAGAGAAGAGACTGAGAAAAGTAATGAACAGAAACGAGAAAATTTGGAGGACATTCCAGGTAAAGATGATGTTTTAGACAGGATTATAGAGTTAAGGTTGTGGGAAGAGGTCATATTGGGATATAAAGGAATTTTCTTTTTGCCCTTTTAAAAAAACTTTCAAATATTGCAAACAATGGACTCCTGCATTCATTTAGTTTTTTTCCATCTTAATGTTTTTCTTCTTAGATACTAGCAGTAGTCAGCCTAAGCCTTTCAGACGAGTAAGACTTCAGACAACATTGAGACAAGGTGTCCGTGGTCGTCAGTTTAACAGACAGAGAGGTAAATTTCTAACATCCTGACTACATAATAGGATGTGGGGTGATGATAAATGGAAGAATTTTTCTCATGTTTATTTAAGCCGCCAGCTAGTATCTCATTTTTTTTAAATGTTCTAAGGATTAACTATGCCTTGCGTATGATATGATGTTCAGTAATATATATAAAATATAAACATTTTGTAGACAGATGTGTGTAATGAATATGTGCTTCTATTTCTTCCTTGAATTCAAAGTAATATTTAGAAAAGTGCTATGTAGTTATTTGGTATATCTTTGCCTATTATACTAGCTAAACAGTCACAGAGCTTTATTCTATTGTACAAAAAGTGTAAAATTTTAATATCTCCATGTTTTCTAATGTAAGATTGCATTTCATAAAAATATTAATCTAATTGTAATGATTATCATTGAAGATGTGAAATGTTTAATTACTAGTTTTTGAAAACAATTTATAATGAACCAGAATAAGTGAATACTCTAGTTTGAGGCTAGCTTCTTAAAAGATTCATTCAGTTTGATTTTTTTCTCTCTCTCTTATAGGTGTGAGCCATGCAATGGGAGGGAGAGGAGGAATAAATAGAGGAAATATTAATTAAATGTTCTATAAATTGTAATAACTGTGAATAAGATTGTCCAGTCTGTTTTAGTGTTATGATTGTCGAGTTTAAAGACATTTTTGTATTTAAATTGGTATGCTTATCTCAACATTCTTTATTAATAAAAGGTATTTCAGTGTCAGATTTTATCATTGTTTTACTTGTCTGTTCCTTTGCCCACCGGTCTAAGGACAGTTGTACCAGACATTGGATAAGGTCTTCCCAGAAGGAGGAGTAACGGCTCTTGCTGTTCTGCTGGGCACATTCAAGTTATAGGCTTGATCTAAATAGAAGAGAGGGATCATTTTATTAAACATTTCTGAGAGTACTGCCTTGACAAATTGACCTTTTAATCAGGTTTAACTCTCCTTCAAAGTAAAAATCAAAAACCACTTGGGTTTTACTCTTTTTTTAAATCTGATGTCATCTGTATAGGTAGAATAACATTTCTGGATTTTTCAAAGAAAAGTGTCTCAGGTAATATAATTTAATAAGATTTTTTTCTCAGGAACTTACTTCTGATCTTACGGACTGTGATGATGCAAATCAGTATAACTTTATGGTAAATGGGGCCTCCACTAAATGCCAAATATTGTTTTCAGGAGCAATTTTACGTAATTTTTTATCATAATGGACTCAATCTCATAAAGGATAGGGCAGCATTCAGTTGCAGTCCTTTCAATTTAATGTGAAAGAAAAGCAAAAATTTAAACTTTCTCTTCAGGGCAATTATAGTTTAACTTCTCACCTTCAGCCTCCATTGAACACTTGGTGTTTTGATTATGTTTGTATTTCAGAGATTAGATCACATCTTTGAGAAGCTATTGAGATTTTACTTAACTCACCCCTAGAAAAAGCATAGTAATCGTAGCCATCGGGTTTTCTGGTGTTGGGCAGGGATATAGCTGAGGTAACCAAACTGGGAAGTCCTCTCCACAGTGTACTTATTTGGGCTTCATTGTGGAGGAAACCTAGAGATGATATTGGAAAGAGCAGCTGTTAGAGTCAGACATACCACAGTATTAACTCCAATGTGGTCACTCAGTAGCTCTGTTATCTTGGATGTTATTTAACCAGTGCCTAGTTTTTGCCCTCTCAGAATTGGTGCAAATAACTACCTTTTATCACTGTTTTCAGGGTTACGGTTTTGTATATATTGTTCTTGGTAAGAGATAATTAAAATAAGTACCATTTATCAAGTAATATTTAAACTGCATTCCTTACCCACAAAGGATAAGTATTGATCTTCGATGTTTTGCACCAATAAGCCTAAAATATTAGGGTTGTTTGGTCAGTATTCATATTTAATAAGCCTTACATCTACTTCGTGTGTAAGAATTTTTAACACAGTATAAAAAACAAAACACATTACCTTTGTCTTGATAAAGGACTCTGACAGGCCGCGAATATTGAATGCTGATGGTGTGTGTGTGAGATCCAATAGCCCGTTCAAAGCGAAGTCTTCTAACCTGTGTTGTTCCTCCGTACACCGGATAACTCAGAGCAGGTCTTCTTCCAGGGCACTGCCTGTTGGGTTCCTGTTTATAAGTATACTTCTGAACTCTGCCCCCTATTAGAAAAAAACAACAAAAATTAATTTAGTCCCCAAAAAAGATGGAAAAGAGCTTTTACAAGGTGGAAGAAACAATGTTTTTCATAAAATATGTCTAGACAATAATGGCTATTAGTCAAGGGTATTATGAAAATAATTACTAAATCCTGAAATACTTGAATGATTAAATTCAACAGACTGCATAGCTATGTATTTAACTTTGTGTGAGAGTACATCGATGACATTCATTATATCAATAACCGGAAAACAGGTGAAATTGTTTGCATGTTGAGAGATCTAAATGCTTCTTAGTGCCCTCAATTTTTTTTTTATTGAAAAATATTTGATCCAGCTATTAAAGACATCTTTTCACAGTAAACCCAGTAGTAAATGAAAATATTCAATAAAACTTTTCTGGCAAATCAACTATTAAAAGTTGTGTGATTTTGTCAATTATGTAGCACATACCTCTCTTGAAAAAATACACAGATTCAGGTCTCTCCTTATATTTAGGTATTGAAAGAGCTGCCAGTATTTTTCCATTTAGTCCTCCAAATCCTTTTACAATTTGTTTGGGATACCCAGGATCTTTCACATCATTGGTGAAACGCCAGTACTGAGAACCCTGATCATTTAAAAGAGGAAGTGATGTTAGTTTTTTGGGGGGAAAAGGTTAGGAATTCATAGATTTTTAAGTATAGGAAGAAAGTTTTAACTCGGGTGTTTGAATAAGTTGACCATTAATGCTACCAAATTGTGTTAACTTTTGATTAAATTTTGATGGTAGTCATTTATTAAAATATGGAACCCCTCTGAGGTGAAATTTAAGCTGACTTATGTTTTCATAAATAAGAACTATTTGCTGATTTCTCTTACAAAGATATTTTTCTTACCTTAAAGAAGAAAGTTTTTCCGTCACAGTTGCACCTAGTAAAAACAGTATCAATGGGAGAGGGAATACCCCAGACTTCAGTAATTCTACGAGGAGGAGATGGTGGACTGAGTGGATTTAGCATCCAGAAAGTAATGACCTAAAATTGAAAGTGATAAATCAGTCTATAAGCTGAATGAATACTAAAACCTATCCCAAAAGAGACCAAAATGAAAATATTTTTAATTATCCTAAAAACACTGAATGTGTTAATGACCAGAAGTTTAGTGAGAACTGTACTAGCACAGAACATAGTGTTTGAACATTTCTGAGAGTAAATCTTTCTCAAGTTTGAAGTTTGACATATTTTAGTTTTCTAGAAAGAGCCTTCTGACTTTGTGACTTAACAGAAAATCACTTTTCTCTCAATTTCTTTATCTTTCAGAAATAAGGAGTTATAATTAAAGGACTACTAAAATCTCTTCGTCTACTGAGCAAGTCTATGTATGACTTACTTCCCTTCAGATTTAATCTAAGTAAACAAAGACTGGACTAGTGTCAGTACAGAGAATTAACATACAATTGCTGTTCTGGGATTCCTTCACAAAGAGTAATTAACACTGCTGAATACATCACAAGATGTTATAATATTCGCCCTTTCTGGTGTTTGTAAGTGGTTAGAACGCCACCGGCCCTTGTACCAATGGGTCTCAGGTTCAATTCCAGGACAAGGGCATGTAGGGGAGGCAACCAATTGCTGGGTTTCACTCACATGCATGTTCTTTCTCCTTCCTACTCTCCCTCCCTTCCACTCTCTAAAAATCAATGGGGGTGAAAAATGTTATTTTCAAATACAGTAGAACAGGGAAAACAAATCCTGGTGTCATTTCATCTGATATGAAATTAAAATTTGAACTACCTTTTAATTCCTAACGGTAGGAACAAGTAGCATCATCTCAAGCTCTTTGTTTTGTTACTCTAATATGTCTAATTTTGTTAGTCTAATATTTTGGTAATTACTCTCAGGTTTTCATAAATTTCGTGTGGTAAGGTCATTAGGTTCCCCTTCAGAAAGCTCAACCCAAACTACTAACTCCTATGGCTTTGGTTCTCACAAATTCCAAGAACAAAATGATGGGCAGAAAAAAGTTTGTGCAGAGCTCACCTCGAAATGCAACTAATGTCCCATTGGCCAGAGTCGTCAGTCCATCTACTGATCTACCATTGCATAAATTGGTTTCATCTGAAACAAATTAATAAATTAAGTCAATACAAAACAATGAAAAAGGTTGTTTTTTTCAAGTTCTCCAGTTTCATTTCCTCTCTTCATCATTTCCTAAGCTCTTGAAGGATATTATAATCCCTTTCTCTTTCTCCCCTCTCTGCTAAAAAAAAAAGTGATGAATTGGAATGGACAGGTTACCTGATCTTAAAGTAAATTATTTATTGGACGTTTAATCTCAACATTCCATCTTTCAGTTCTTACTGCCCTTTAGATTTGGTTTGTAAAAGTAATATTGCAGATTTTTGCTTTGCATTGTACTTTCTTTTAAGGGTGGACTCCCAACTAAATATTTTTGGTGTTCTGTACACTGGCTCTGCCTACAGACGCACTAAGTTCCTAACACTAGGCCATTACTCCTTTCTCCAAATATCAAATAATCTTACTGTGATTACTCCTCCGCTTCTAAAGCTGTAAGACTTCACAAGTTAATAAGTTCAGGACTCTAGACAATGTACATGTTAAATCAGGGCATTCCAGTTCTGGTAGACTTATGTTAACATTAGACTCTAAAAAACCAGTCTCTTTACCTGAAAGCATGGGGTTGACGCCAATGCCTTGATCGGATCCTCTCACTGTGAAATCAGCTCCTGGGATAATTAGAGGAGTTATCACAGGGGGCCTGAGAATCACATAAGGTTTTTCTCCTTCAGCATCATTTGCATCTTCATTCTTTGGATGTTCTTCAGCCATTTCTGAGTTACTAGCTTGGTCAGAGCTGGTGGTGGTGTGGAGCAAGTCTTCCTCTGAAGAGGCAGGGTTCATTGTAGGCACCGTTGATGTGGTTGTCTTTGGGGGAGATGGTGTAGGCTTTGGTTTTGTCACTTTAGGTGTTGTGTTGGGCTTTTTGGTGGTGGTGGGCATTTGGGGTGCTTTGGTTGGCTTTGGGGATTTAGCAGTCGTCACTTTGGATGTAGTTACTGTGTCTTCAGACGTATTTGTAGTCTCTTCAGTTGTAGTTGTCTTTTTTGTTGCAGCCGTCACTTCAGGTGCAGGAGTTGTTTCCTTAGGAGTAACTTTGGCCGATGTGGTGTCCTTGGTTGTGGTAGATGTCACCTGCTTGGTTGTACTTGTTTGGGACTCAGTGGTCTTGTCTTCTGTTGGAGTCACTTCTGGTGCAGGAGTTGTTTCCTTAGGAGTAACTTTGGCCGATGTGGTGTCCTTGGTTGTGGTAGATGTCACCTGCTTGGTTGTACTTGTTTGGGATTCAGTGGTCTTGTCTTCTTTTGGAGTTGCTGTCTCTCTTGTTGTACTTGTAGAAGTAGCAGTTGTAATTTCAGTTGTAGTGTGCGTGCCTTTTTCTGTTGTCTTATCCTTCAATGTGGTGGTCGTTTCAGAATTGGACCCTGCAGGAGCCTTTGGTGTGGGATCTACCAGAA